TCGATTTCCTACACGCAGCAAAGTGAGCCATTTTCGTCAGTCTGTCAACGACGACCATAACCGCGTCATTACCCCCAGGGTTCGAAGGTAACCCCGTGCCGAAATCCATGGTAACCTGCTGCTAGGCGCGCTCGGGCAGTGGAATCGGCTGCAACTGACCTGCCTTTCTTTTTCGCAAACTCTTTATAACTTGACACATAAGATATGACCCTACGTGGTGCTGTACATCGGTCGACAGCTCCGGCCAGTAGTAATACTGCTGCAGTTGTTGTTGCGTTTTTTCTACCCTGAAGTGATCCGATGTAACCCCGTCGTGTGCCTCCTGCAGTAGCAGTTCCCTCAATAGTGAGTACGCGGGTATCCAGATGCGGTTGGTGCCTGTTTTTACATAATAGACCTCCTTTGCTTCTGCCAGTTGCTGCGAATTTACGGTCATGAAAAATGGGCCAGTGCGGTATCCGTGGGTGAATATGCCTGTTAAAAGCGGGTTGGTTTGGGCGAGTAGGATGGCGTGAAGTTGGGCAGTCGGCGGGTGAGTGAGTCAGCAATATTCAACGCCCTATTTTTGTACGAGACAGTGTAGTGGAAGTTGGACTCCAGATAGTCCAACCAGAGGATCTGTCGCGGGTTGAGATTCGGTTGGGCGCGAAGGTACTGTAGTGCACGATGACATGTCTGTACTGTCACGTCGGTTCCTGTCAGATAGCACCGCCACACTTTGAACGCGTGCACGAACGCCAGCATCTCGCGGTCGTGTATCGGGTAGTTGCGCTCGGGCGGGTGAAGTTTGCGAGACTCGTACGTGATAGGCTGGAGGCCGTTCCCGAAGTCCTTCAACAGTACTGCTCCTACATCGATGTCACTTGCGTTGGTGATGAGCTTGAACGGGCGGTGGGATCTGCGATGTGACGCACGAATGGTGAGCACAAAAAAAAAAAAAATAGGATCGAGAAGGCAGCTTGCTCTTTCTTCCCCCATGTGTACTCAACCCCCTTCCTCAGCAGGTCTGTCAACAGGGCGGTCCACTGTGCCATGTCAGGGACAAACCGTCGCACGTAGTTGACGAACCCCATACAACTATGCAACTCGGTCAAGTTGGTCGGCGCATGCCATGCTTGAACCGCCTCGATCTTTTTCGGGTCTATTTCCACTTCGTTGGCTGAAATAACGTGCCCTAAAAACTCCAATCTGTCCTATAGAAACACACACTTAGATGCTTTGGTCAGTAGGCGGTTCTCACTCAGTATTTTAAGAACGGATTCGATGTCGCGTATGTGCTGTGCTCTGTTTGGGTTGTAGATTAGTATGTCGTCTAAGTAGACGATCACGCACTTATCTAAAAGCAGGCGAAAGGCTTTGTTCATGGTCATTTGGAAGTTCGCGGGGCATTGGTCGGTCTGAAGGGCATTACCGTGTATTCGAACTATCCATAGCGAGTTCATAAGGCAGTTTTTGGGCAGTCGGGCGGATTGACGCGGATCTGACGGTAACCTCCTCGAAGTTCAATTTTCAAGAAAACTCGAGCTGTGCGAAGTTGGTCGATCAGTTCGTCGGCTCGCGGGATCGGGTAACGGGACTTGATGGTAACTCGGTTCAGTGCGCGGTAATCTATGCAAATGCAAAATCCCCCATCTTTTTTCGGTGTGAATAGTATCGGTGCGGCAAAGGGCGACGAACTCGGGCGAATGAACTTTTTCTCGAGCAGGTAATCCAGTTGCTTCTGTAGTTTTGTCCAGTTCGGGTTGGGTCGGTCGGAACTATCACTGTACTATCGGATATGCCCAAGGTTTTAGTTCTATCATGTGGTCATGCGGTCGCTGAGGTGGCAGTCTCTCCGGTAGGTCATTCGGAAAAATCCCGCTGTACTGCTTTAAAAGTGCTGCCAAGTCATGCGGTACGCCGGCGAGCAGTTTCTGTAAATCGCTCGGTTTGTCTGCTGCCTCGGCTTCCCGAATGTCAACCACATACACGTCAGCTCCTGCCGCTATGGCGCGTTTCATCGTGATTGCGTTGACACGCACCGACAAAGACTCGGGCGAGCTCCAGCGAGGTAGGGCGATATTGTTACCGTTCATTTGCATGGTGGAGTCACCCGTTGTCCAGTCGATTTGCGGATTGTGTCGTCGCAGCCAATCATGACCGAGTACAATTTCGGTCCCATCGAGGGTTGTTGCGAGTATTTCCTGGGTAAATGTGAAGTCATCCCAGCATCGGATCCGAACTCGGTCAACGCGTTCTCGTATCGCCAGCGGCGTGCCATCAACCAGTCGTGCGTCAATCTCAGGTAAACATCTGTCCAGTGGAAGTTTTAGTCTCCGTGCTGTGGCGGTATTAATCAGGCTGTGGCTAACCCCCTCGTCTACGAAGATTTTAACTAAGTCCATCTGTATTTTCCCTCTAAGTAGTATGGGGCTGTCTACCATTGTACCCTCCTTATTCGGCCAGGTGTGGTCGATTGCGTGAACCGGCACAATCACTCGGTGAGGGTCGGTTGGGTTGGGCGAGCGGCGTGACCTGTTAGTAGAGGGCCCGTCTGCTACTGACTCCCAGCGTTTGCCTGGTGCTTGGTCTGTTTCTGCTGATCAGCTCCCCCCTTTCCCTTAGCGTTTTCTTGACATTTGCTCTTACGATGTCCCAGACTGTTGCATGCAAAGCAGCGCCCTTTGAACGGTATGGCAGCGGCATTCGCGGCGACAGCGCGTATCGTGTCGTGCTCGTTCGATCCCCAAGTCTGATGTCCCCAGCTGTTGTTGTTGCCGTAGGACCTCGGACTCGGTCAGCGGAGAAAATCCAAAATTTCCGCCACACGAGAATCTCGTTGAACTCTCTGACGTTGCAGAGCTGAATCTCCTGAGCAATCTCGTGTTTCAGGCCGCCAATGTAGTGGTCGATACGCTCTCCCTCATGCATGTATCCCACCTGCTCACACAACGCCAAAAACCCGCTGGTGTAGTCCTGGGTGGAACCGAGCTGGCGCCAAGTGCAGAGCCTCTGACGCGCCGCGATCGAAGTTGCAATTGGCTCGAATCTCGCGTGCAGACCTGCGCACCACGCATCCCACATGCGATTCTTGGGCACTTCCACGAAATACAACGGTGCCCAGGGTCCGGTTTGTCCTTCCCGTGTCGGTAGAGTCTCGTAGTTCACCGTCTTCATGACAATGACGCGCCACCAGTCCATGGCGGGTCCTCACATCATCGACACGGCGTATCGAATCTTCGCCGAGTCCTCCGAGATGTAGTTGGCGTCGAAGAAAACGTTCATCGTGAACAACCACGCCTGAAAGGTCGGACCACCCTGCTGGTTTGGATCGAGGCAAGGCGGACGCGGCAGTGCTGATTCGCCGGTCGGCACCGAAATCGTGACGCGAGCTTGGCTCATGGCCGCATTCGTCGCTCCGGGGTGTGTCGTGCCGTGGTCGTCGTCTCCATCATTGCGGGCGATGCCATCACTAGCCGTGCTTGAGGTTTGCCCCACACTTCCGTGCTTGTTGCGCCCTTGCAATGTCATTTTGCAGTGACGTACGTTCTGCCGTCAGAACCGCGATTTCTTCGGAACTTTGGCGCAGCTACTGCAGCAGTTCGTTTAGGCGCTCCTGCGTGAGTGTCGTGACGTCGACGTGCTCGACCATTTCGAAGGATGGTGGCTCGGCTTAGCTTTAGGCACAGTTGTGGCTGCACGCGTTTACGAGAGATCGCGAGGACAGCGGCTCCTAGGTGCTAAGGGCGTGTGTCCCTTCGAGTGTAAAAATCAAAAGTTGATTTCTCTGTGTGCGGAGATGTGCGGTCCAAAAGAAAGTGGCTCTAAATACCATGTGTTATGGGTGCAATGGAACAAGATAGCGAGGATTGCACTAGGTGTCAAACGAGTACAAAGTAAGAGCGAAGGCATGAGCGAATACTTATATGCGAAACATGCAAACGGTAACACGGTGCGTGCGAGTTAGCTAGTGCTAGGCTGGCATCGAGTTCCGGACTAGTCCCGAAGCGTAGGCTGACTCGGCCAGGCCAGCGGTGCATGGTTTGGTAAAACAGTGTGCGAGAAGTTGGCGAAGCCTCGTTAACAGTAACGGGCGAAAAACGGCTGCTGCTGTACACGATGTTGAAGAACGCGGTAAGGAATGCCGAAAAATTCCTTAGAGTGGCTCACATCCTAAATTCATAAGCTACATTAGTATATTGAATGTAAGCTAATAAATTTCTTGAAAATCACACGCACCCTAAATGTACGCGCTGGACACGCCCTTTAGTAAGAATTGTGCTGGATTTGGTACCCAGTTGCCAGCTCGGCAGTTCGCCTCGTAATGAAGTGGGGGAAGATATCACCCGAATCCCTCCGGAAACCCGCTTTTGCCCCTGCGGGATTTCCCTGGAGGGATTTCCGTTTTCCCGCAGTCGCCTAGCAAAGCACGCGAGGGGCGAGAGCCGACCCCCCACACCCCCCCCCCCCCTCGCCCGAAAACGGGCACCCCCAGCTGGCGCCAGCTGCCAGCGGTTCCCCCCAATCGAACTGAACCGCACCCTCGGTTCGTAGACGGGTTCCGTCCGGTAACCCATGGAACCCTCGCCGGGCGTCGCCTCGCCGACGGAACCCGTCCGCGAATTCTCGCGAGCGGACGGAAGCGACGCCCATCTGCGCCGCGCTCCACCGCTCTCGCCCTCGACGGGGCCCGTTTTGGTTGGCGCTCGACCCTGGTGATGTGTCGAACGCCCCCTCCCGCTCCTTGAGAGGGGCCTTTGAGCTGCATGCAGGGCGCCCCACCTCATGCAACCAACCACCAATAGGGCCCCTCCGCCCTCTGCCATAAGCTCCTCCTACCGCCGTCGCAGAACGCGCCCTGCCTCGTCGCCCTTGCACCCGAGTCTGTCTCGGTGGAGGGGATGACAAATAGCAAATACTCTGAGTGCGTTCTCATTTTGTTGCAGTCTCCAAGTTTTTCTTCCCTACTCCCTAGTTCCCAACTTCCCGGCGCTCCCGCCCTCCCTACTGCTAGGCCTGTCATGGCTACGGGCCCCGCCTCCCTACCCATCGTGAACGAGCCGACGGTTCGACGCGGCCTCATCCTAACCGCAGGCAAGATCGAGGTGGAGGTGTTTGAAGACCAGTTGAATGCGCTAAGCGAGGCGCCGAAGGCGGAGCTCGACCAGATGATGATGAACGCGGGCGTTGTGTACGTTTCCTGTCAAGCATTTTCGGTTTGCCATGTTTACCTGTCGCTGACTGTGCCTTAGCTTTCCTTGCAGCCTATTTTTGAGGGAGCTGCTATCCGTCGAGTAGCTCGCCAAGCTGTCGATCGTGACTTCGACGCGTGCGCATGAAGAGATGGCGTATCCCACACTGGTCGCTTTTGCGAACAACCACCTCGACGGCCTGCTTGGCAAGCAAGTGATTCTCGTTCTGCTGCGGACCACGTGAGTTCGACACTATCCCGTCGCCTTGCTTGCTCCGTGTTTAGTACTAAACCCGTGCTCACGTGCATTCGCTCTGCATGCAGCCTGACTGTGGCGCCGTTCTCCCACTCGAGCCTGTTTGTGGTATCGCGCCCCGACGGTCTGCTGGCTCCGAGGCACCATGGCTGTCGAACTCGAATGATGCACTTCGATTCAAAAGACAGGTTTCCCGCGGTGAACCACCAATCTTCGCTGGCGCATGAAGTTCTCGTGTGAGTGACCAATTTGCCACCCTGCTGTCGACTTGCCGTTCTCGACAATCTCTTACTCTCCTGTCCGTTGCTTTGCAGTTGGATGAAGAAGCAGCTTCGCGCCGAGTACGCGACGACCCAGCGGGTTGTGATCGAGCACGAGCAGGGGGTGCTTAGCCTCATCGACCTGCGTCTGGACATGAGCACGAGTTTCGATCATCTAGTAAGCCAACCCTTACCCTTACTCGTGCATGTTTTCATCGAGCATGTTGTTATGTCGCTTACGTGTGTTTTATACCCGTCGCAGACGACGACGGCCCTGACGAGCCCCAGTGAACCCGGCGCGGCAGCTCGTGTCGTGCATGGGGTGCGCCAGATTCTGTCAAAATGGGACAATTTCATACTGCAGCCTCGACAGGGCGACCTCGTGATGCTCGGGAGAACGAGCCCTGGCCCGGGTTTGCTTCCGTCGTTCATGGTCAAACTGTTTTGGAAAAGGATGGACGCAGCGTCGGAGGGAGTAGGAGTGGGAGGGGGTGCCGAACACGAGGGAGGAGGCGAGGGGGCGCCACGCGTCATGGTTGAGTACAGCTACGAGGAGGAGGAGATCGAGGAGGATATATCGAGGCAAGCTCAGCACGGGGTGAGCGGCCCGGGCGGCAATGCGAACGAGCAGGAGGGCTGGAGCTTGGAATCGAGCTCCGGCACGAGCTCGAGCGATGAGTCGATCGAGAATGACGGCGAGGGCGCAGGAGAACATCCAGATGGGATGGAGCGTACGGAGGAGCACGGAGTGGCGCTCGGGGAGCAAGTGGACGAGCAGCAGGCGACGGGGGACGATGGGGCTGTTGAGAAGCAGGATGGCGGAGCAGCTGTGCAGGAGGGTGGGGCAGGAGTGCATCAGCAGGAGGGCGGGGCGGTTGTGCAGGATTTTGGGACAAGAGTGCAGCAACAGAAGGGCGGGGCGGCTGCGCAGGAGGGTGGGGTCAGAGGGCAGCAGCAGGAGGGCGTGGTGGCTGCGCAAGAGGGTGGGGCAGGAGGGCAAGAGCAGGAGGGCGGGGAGGCTGCGCAGGAGCGATAGGTCGCAGTAAGAAGGAGACACCGCACGGCCAGTGGCAACGGACAGGCGGGCCCTTCGACGGCAGGCCATTCGACGTCGGCCATTGCATCCGGAGCCCAGGTCGTCGAGCTACTGCAGAGGGTCGAGAAGGTCGAGGCGTCACAGAAGAAGCTCGTCGCCGACGTATTTGCGAAGCACAGTGAGCATGCCGCTGTTTTCAACAAGCTTGCTGGGGATTTTCGGACGGCCTGGAATATGATTTCGGAGTCGTCGAAGAGCATGCTGAAGCAGTGCGGCGATGCCGTAAACGGTGTCACTGAGAGGAGGAAGCTGTTGGAAGGGGCACGCACGAAGCTCGACGAGATGAGCAGGAAAATTATCAAGGGGGTGGTAGCCGCTATCACAAAAGCGAGCGAGGACGCCGTCGAGAAGCAGTTCAAGCTTGTCGAGGAGCGGCTGGTTGCTTCGGTCGTGAAGGGTATTGAGAAAGCCGTCAAGGAGGACTTGTTCTACTCCACCCTCCCGCCTGAGAGCATGAAGGAGCTGAAGGACGTTGTGAGAGAAAGCTACTAAGAAGATGAATCTGGCCGATTGGAAGTCCTCACCGAAGCGATGGCGAGAGGGTTTCGGGGCTCGATGGGCCCGTCAACGAGGTCGCGTCAGGAGGAGGGGGTGGCTGGTGTTCGCAGCGGGGTTGAGCGTTGAGTTCATGAGCGCTCGGTTCCTCCTTTGGTGGGAGGACATGTCCGCAGCCCGGTAGCATCCCCACCATCGCGTGCCCGTCAGACCGTCGGCAAGTCCGTCGAGGACAAGGAGGTCATTGTACTCGACCAGACGTCCCTTTAGGAGACCTCCGAAGCGGCACCGAAGCCTCCGTCTGATGCTTTTGCTCCGCTGCGGGACATGCTGCAAGGCCTCGGGAAAAAGGGTGGGAAAGGAGTGGTTGCGGGGGAAAAATGTGGTGCCCCAATCGGCCAGGTCGCCTCAGCCGGGTAAGGAGCCGTGGAAAAGCGAGGTGCCCCTACCCCGTCCGGCGGCGCTACGGGGAAAGGAGCGGGGGAGAAACGGGGTGCTCCCAGCCAGGTCGTCGTCGCTGCTGGGTTGCTGTCGAAGACAAAGACCGACTCAGCTGCGCAGCTCGGCATTGTTGGCCGTCCTGTCGAGCCTGTGGGAAAGAGGCCGTTGTCCGTTTTAGGCGACATTTGCCTTAGCGAACCGGGTTCCCCTCCTCCTGGTCCGAGGCCAAGGTCCCCTTCTGTGTCGAAGAAAAGGCAGGCTGTGACAAAGTCGACGAAGCGCGCTGCAGAGGCAACAGATAGCAGTGACGTGGTGGAGCTGGGCAGCCTCCTTGGCCAAGCTCATGTCGAGAAGGCGTCTACCGTCGTTGCTGCTCGACACGAAAAGTCGAAGAAGCCCAAGGTGATCGTCTACACCCCACCTCCTCCGCCGGACGACCAAGGCAAGACGAGAGGCTGCAAAGCTCCCTTCAAAGAACTGGGCATGATGTCGCGGAAGGGGAAGCCGGTTTCCGAGCAGACCGTAGGCTCGAGGAAGCGGTTCCTGGGCACTTTTGAAACGGAGGCGAACCAAAAGTTTTGTACGGCCATTTGCTGGCATGTGTACTTCCCCGACATAGACCTTAAGGAGTACGAGGGGTTCACGGCGCAGGATGAGAAGGACTGGAAGGTCTATCTCGATACAGCCGCGCGTATGCCCACCGGCGTTTGGAGCGTGGCGCAAGAACAAGGGGAATGTCATTTCGACGAGTGAGTTATGTCGAAGTCCTGTAGTTTGACTTGTCAGAGGTCCACTGGTGATCCCCGATTGATCCTAGGGAAGGGTTACAGGCTCGTTGTCCTGGGGGGTTATGGGCGCACTGACCCGCTACTTAACAAGCCCTTTTATGCCAGTGGTCTAGTGGTTGGGATTCTGACATGACTGTCGTAGCGGTTTTGTTCTTTCCGTCAAAGTGCTGTTGGATTTCCTATCGAAGTCGTGCCGTCTGACTAACGCATTTATTTCGATTTGCAGTTTCTTATCGCTGCTGGCGACGGCAAATACGGAAGTGAGAGCCGGAACCGGCTGGGGAATTGCACTGTGCGCGGCAATTGGGAAGGTTGCGACGCTTGGTCGGAGGCACGGGAACGTGATTTATCTGGTCCCAAAGAACATGCACGGGACTGCGCACATGATGGCCGTCGCAGCAACTGTGACAAGCTTGTGGGCGGCCTGCAGGAAGTTGTCAAGGGAAGACATTAAGAAGGATGCCCTAGCTGCCGCAAACGCAGCGCTCTACACCCCGGAGATGGCGACACGGGCTAGTGCGGCTGCCATAGTTGCGCTGCTGTCCGTACTTCTGCACGTCGGCAAGACGTTCCCGGGCAAGTAGTGGCCCAATCTGCTATATTCGTCGGCTGTCAAAGGCCTCGGCTCGACTGACGCCACCCTGTTGCAGATGGTGCGCGTGGCAGCACAAGTCTGTACTCAATGGTGCTACTGTCGATTTGCTGCCTGTTTGCTGGAGGACACGGGCTATGGGAGCCTGGCTATGCCAGAAGAAAAGAGCAAGGCGAAGCTGGGCGACGAGGATGCAACAGAGGCGGAAACAGGCGGGCAAGGGGAGTAGTATAGGCGGGCGCATTGCGTGGGGGTTTTTGCATCATTCGACAAATGTGTTTGTTGTTTCGATAGTTTGATCGACATAATGTTTTGGCTTGATGTTCCTTGAATTTATGTTTTTGATAATGCTCAATTGGTTCATCTTGTCAAGATGGTGTCACAACATGCATTAGGGGAAGATGCCATGTAAACCCTGAAAGAACAACCTACACTAGGGTCCCCCCTCGTAACGGTTGCCCGTCGAACTAGGCCGCGCGCTGGTTGTTGCCGTGAACTCTTTCCATTTCTCCTTGCCGAATACCTTCTCCGCCCATTCTGCGATTCGGAGCTCGACGCGAATGAGCTCCAGAGTGATTCTGAGGTGTTGTTTGCGTCAGTAGATCTGCACTGTGGATGCCCGATTGATCCTATGGGGGGTTACAGGCGTGTTTGCCTGGGGGGTTATGGGCGCACAAACCCGCTACACAAACAAGCACTTTTATCCCAATGGTCTAGTGGTTGGGATTCTGACATGGTATCAGAGCGGTCTCGGGTTCGAATCCCGGTGTATGCACATGTAGGCCGTTGCCGCTGTGCTCAGTCCTGGGCCTCCCAGTGAGGGGGGGTGTCAGTAGATCTGCACTGTGGATGCCCGATTGATCCTACGGGGGGTTACAGGCGTGCTTGCCTGGGGGGTTATGGGCGCACAAACCCGCTACACAAACAAGACCTTTTATCCCAATGGTCTAGTGGTTGGGATTCTGACAGTTTGTCCTTCCGGTTTTCCTCTGCAGACTCGACTTTGCACTTTTTCGTGAGCTGCCTCCTAGAATCCTCCTTGAGAACGATGCCCTCCGAAAGCATGTTGATCGAGTGGCCCTTCACAATTGAGTCCAGCTTTTTGATGACCGTCGACGTAACCACGCTGCTGTCGTCGATCTGGAAATGCTCGACGGCCTTCATGACAGCCTCCATTCTCCGCAATTTCGTCTCGATAGCTTTTGCGGTTGGTGGATTTTCTTTTGGCTGGGCCTCCTTTTCGGGGGTTACGGGGGGTGGAGTCGGTGTGAACTTGCATAACTTGACGGCAAAGCCCCTCTAGTAAGCCTGTCGAAGACTATGCCCGTTGTTCAGTGGGCTTGGCCCATCCCAGTACGACCACGCCTTCCGCACGGTCTCGCAATTGCACCACGGCCACACCACCGCGTCGAAGAACGCCTGGTTGAGCTGGCTGCACACGCTCTGTCGAGAGGGCGTTGCTTGTTGGGGTTGCTGTGGAGCCGAGGTGGCTTCTTCGGTCGCCGTGTGCGGCACGCTCTCGCTCTCCCCCACATTTGCAGCTGCGCTTGTCGCCGCGGTATTCTTCAATGCGTCGAACGCTTTCTGTAGTTGCGCGAACGCCTCTGTCTTCGCCTCCGACTCAGCCTTCATCGAGCTCTTCTCCCGCTCCAATGACTCGACCTGCTTCTCGAAGTGGTTGATCTGGATTTCCTTTTTCCCTCCCTCCTCCTTGTGGAGGTTTATCTCGGCCCGAACTTGTGTGATGAGGTGCTTGGTGTTGATGTGAGAGGATACGTCCTGCATGCAAGAACACGTGCAGTCAGTGGGCTGATGCAAAGTCGTCGCTTATAGTTTTGGAAGGACCATCTTACCGTCGCTCTCGACATCGTGGGGTTGGTCCGCATCTCGATGCCGTACTTGTCGAGTGTGTACACGTCGAGCGCCCATTATTTGAAATCTTCGTCCTTGCACAAACCCGACATCTGGACGTAAGGGTGACGCTCGCAGTCACAAACGCTGACCCCGTCGAAGGGGTGGTCCTCACAATGGACGTAGTACATCGCAAGATCCTCTGCGATGGGCATTCGGGCGGCTAGCAGGGCCTCTTAAAAACTCTTCGCTGCGTAGTACATATGTTCCTTGTCCTGCTCGTTGTTCCACTCCTGGGCCTGAACATAAACGAACGGGGTGACATCGATGGGCGAGCAAAACTTGCGTTCGACGAAGACGCCAAGTGCTCGACAGATACATACCTCGATGAGCCACAGCTCCGCCTTAGGAAATATGTGCTCCTCGATAGCCTTCAGGACCTTTAGGGGCACTTTGGTCTTCGATCTTCCAATGTAATAGTCGCCCTGTTCCTGCAAGAAATCCGCTTGCATGGATGGCCGGGCGCGGGATGCCTATGACGTATGACCTGCGCATCTCGTTCATGTCCCATTGACCCAGCTGTGCGATGGTGTCGAGGTCTAAGTTCTTGTCTGCGAGGATCTGTGCCACAGACCGTCGAAAGATGTGCGTGAATTTCGACACGATCCACACCGCGCTATTCATCGCCCATGTCACCCATTTGTTGTTCGTCGGGTACGGCATCTCTGTCTTCTCTTTGTCGAAGAGGGCGAAGAACAGGTGTTTCTTCGACCAGGCCTCCGGGTTTGAAAAAACCAAGGGGGGCACGATATTTGCGTTGTTGTAGTAGAGCGGCACGAGGTCGAAAAGGGAGTGTAGCTAGAGGAAAACTGCTCCAAAGCTGCACTCCTGGAAGTCCATGTGTCGAGTCAGGTACAAGTGGCCGAGCTTGTTGTCTTTGACGGTCTTCGAATTGCTAGGCGACCACGAGAGCGAGGATCGACGATTCCCCTGAGCTGTTTGCGATGGGCAGAAGGACGTGAGTGAACATGTTGCAGTAGCGGATCGTACGGATGCTGATCAACCTGCCCAGCATGTGATCCGCCATCAGAATCATCACCCTCACAGCCAAGGCCTTCCACAACGACAGACTAGGGTACGCCATCGACGACCCGAAGTACACCTTGGCCCAGTGCGGCACGATGTCTGAAACGAGAATGCGGAACTGCTCCTCCGTGTAGACATCATCGAGCGAGCCACGGTGTGGGTCGACGCAGCTCCTACATAGAGTGGGCAGATACAGCAATTCATATGTGAGAAAGTGAGTGAGAAGTTGTAGCCGACGGGGTAGGGAAGCGAACTTACTCGAACTGATAGTCGTGCAGCTGTCGCAGCTTGACCGCTAGTAGCTGCCTAGCCTCAGTGATGTCGTCCATCGGTTTTGTGAGTGGTTTGTCGAAGAGTATGGCCTCTACTTTGCACAAGCACCCTAGCGCAGTTAGGCGCGCCAGCATCATCGGTGGGGTGCATTTTTTCGGCTTCCGTCCCGCTACTCTGGTCCGCCCGGTATCCAAGGAAGCCGCCTGTTCGTCCGTTTCCGTCGACATGTACTCGACGTAAGCCCGCAACCGCCATTTCGACGTCCAAGGCCCATGCAGGTGCTCCTCGTTAAGGAGCGCCGCCCTCCACCCCTTCCCTAAATCATTGCCGATCTCTCTCCCGACCTCGTCCTCGTTGATCACCTGCTCCTCGACCGGCACTCCCTTGTTTTTTCCAGGCGCCAGGGTTGCACAGGCCCAAGCCTTGAAATGCATGAAACCCGAGACGTAGTTTGGCCGAGTGGAATCCTGGTCGATTGCCAGCAGCGGAAGCCGACAACGGTGAATCGCACTTTTGAGTGTTCCCGTCGCCAAGTACGGATTTTCTTCGCCCTATTCGTCACCGAGAATGTGGGCTGCCTCCTCTTCTGATATATTTGCCGTGGCAGGGCGCAAAGGGTCCACCTCTTCGACATCGTCCGCCTCGGGCTGTTCTCCCTGCTCATCATCGTCATCATTCGTCTCTGCAGGGACGTGGCTGGCTAAGTCCGCTTTGCTGGGTCTTTTCGATGAGCGCATAGGCGCGGCGGGAGTGGCTTGCGAAGTGGATGTACCGGCTGGGGGTGGTGGCCTAACCTCAGCCGGAACACCCGTACCCCTTCTCCTACGTCGCCCACCAGTCGAGCTCGGGACAGTGGCTACTGGTTCCGTTGGTGTTGTCGAACGTTGTGATGCCGAAGATGATGACGGCTGGTTAGTCGCTTCCGGTGTTGAGGGAGGGGTTGTTGCCGAAATCGGTTCTACTACTACAGTTATGGATTGCGCCGTCGAAGGGGCTTCGGTCGGTGCCCCCCCCACTTCGACATTGACGGCACGTTCCGTCGAGCGTTGATCCGTCGCAACCGGCTGACCCACTACTGGTATGGCTCGTGACGTCGAGGGTGGCGCTGTTGATACCGGTATGGCTCGTGACGTCGATTGTGGAGCTGTCGAGCCCGGTATGGCTCGTGACGTCGAGGGTGGCGGTGTCGAGCACGGTATGGCTTGTGGCGTCCTAGGGGGTTGCGTCGAGATGGTTTCAACGTCGACAGGAAGCGGTCCTACCGCTGCCTGCCGTAAAGGCGTTGTCATCGACGAATCGTTCTCCATCAGTGCCTACCAGAAAGCTCTCGTTGCCGTAGCACTGGCCTAACTGACAAAAACGATGTTACTGCTGCTCCCAGTTTAGGATTTCATTGAAACCGTTGTTGGGCTGATAACCCTTCCCTTACAGGTGTCCTCAAGGCCCTGGTCTTTGACGTGGCGGTCATCTGTTGACGTGACCCCTTTGATGGCGACTTACGTAACTCGTCGCTTGTCCGACAGCGACGTCTCGCTCGACCGTCGAAGTGATCGGTCGACCGCAGTTGACGGCGCCGTCGATTGTGGTCGTCGGCCGGTTGCGAAACCCGTTACCACTCACGTCGACCGATAGTGCGGCATGTCAGGCGACGTAGATGGCGACGCCAGGCGCTGTCACCCGTCTTGTCGGGGGTGCACAGTGCTCGACGGCGATTGGCCAATGCCCGTCGAGTAGTGCTCGATCGATGTCTCCGAAAATGCAAGAGTACGGTTGTCATATATATGCATTTAAAGCCAGGATCTCAAGTAAGAGAAATTGGGATCAATTGCAAAACAGTTGACGCTCAGTTACCCCGTTTCTGTATGCGAAGTAGACTGGTTGGCTAGGCAGTTTGGCGTGCGACACTCCCAAGCTTTTGCCCCAGCACCAAATGCAAAACAATTTCAGAAACATGAGACTGTCGGCAAATTTGTGGCATTCTAGCTTCGGATCCGAACCAAACTCCATGCCTACAAGGTTCGGACACACACAAACGAGTTCAGTTTCCTTCGCACCCCTCGCTGCACCCCTCGCACCTCGTCGACCAATCGCGGCCAAGCTCCAACCATCAACTGCAAAACATTTGTGGTACTTGAGATCCTGGCTTTAAAACCGGGGTGCACATTCAGCTGAATGTGCATCAAAGGTTATCCCTTAGACTGAGTGGGTTACGAGGTGTGCTTTCAACCCCTTCAAGTCGAAATTCGTTTCCCCCCTCCCCCGCAATTTCGTTTCCCCACGCCCCCGCAATTTCATTTCCCCCTCCCCGTCGAAATTCGTTTCCCCCCTCCCCCGCAATTTTGTTTCCCCCCTCCCCCGCAATTTCGTTTCCCCCCCCTCCCGCCAATCTGTTTCATCCCTCCCGCCATTCGGTTTCACCCACACTTGCCATTTCACCCCCTCCCGCCACCTACGAAATGCCCGAAGCTCTAGCGGAATCATTTTTTTGTCGCCCCTCGTGAGCCAATCACTGTTTTTCTCCAAACCCCCTTCCCAACATCTCAAGCCGAACCGCGTTGAATGTGCACCCTGGTTTTAAGAATACGACATTGAGACGGGGATTCGGAGGGATTTTTCGCCTGGCCAGGCAGGATTTTCGGGGTGACCCGAGGAATTCGGAGGGTTTTCGGATTTGCCCCGAAATCCCTTGTGCCAGGACCCGTGGGGCGGCATGTGCTGACGTCACACGTCCCTATGTTACTGGGAAGCTCGTAGGGATGCGTACCTTATCCATCCGCACTTAATTTTCTTGTTTTGATTTTAGTACCTCGTGATTCCAATCGATCTAAGCGGTTCGATTTAGTCCGTTAGATTGTCCTCTCCCCAATGACGACGCCTATCGCCGTGCGACACACCCCACACGCGTCGCCGCCACTCGCTCAACGGCGTGCCGCATCTCTGTCGACGCGTGTCGTCGCGTTCTCTTCCAGGCGAGAACTAGCCGTCCGATGCCGCCGCCAATCGCAGCAAAGCGTTTCATTGCGACAACCGGGTCCCGCGTCTAGGCGGTCCGTGCGGGCAGCGGCGGCGGCGGCGGAGGGGAAGGATGGGGAGGCGCAGCTGTCGGCGGAGGAGGCGGAGGAGGCGCAGGACCTGAGGGACATTCACGACATCGTCGAGGTGATTTGCGTCGCCTAGGCCGTTCACGGCATTCGCGACATTAGCGCCAGCTGCGAGCTCAGAGATGGGCGGAGGTTAGGATTGCGAGTGCAGGGTCGTGCCTAGTACGGGCCTCAGTCGAACTCTCCTTGGTGGTCCCCTCCGCCGAACCGCTCACGCCTCCAACCGGCGCATTCCGTGCTGCCCGCGCGTCTTGCCATTCCGGTCTCACCTTGGGGTCGGGCTTGCCGTGTTGAGCCTTGCGGTTCATCTGATTCGCCCATCCATTCCTCTCTGTGCGTGCGTGCGTGCGTGCGTGCGTGCGTGCGTGCGTGGCAGACCATCGAGTTGCTCAAGGAGCGTCGCGACATGACGGTTCAGGAGGTGCGTTTCCTAGTCTGGCGGCTTGGCGCGACTCACATGTGTCGCCGTCGTTGTCCGTAATTGTCCGGCCATGTCCGTAACTTCCTTCCTCGTCCGTCCACAGTCCTCATTGTCCGTCGTCCGTCCGCTGCCCACATTTCACTTCCCCCTATTGCACGCCAATCTCTCCGCCTTCCGCGCGCCGGCTGACGTCACGCGCGCAGATCCGGCTGGTGCTGATGATCGAGGACCCGCGCGAGGCGGAGCGGCGGCGGCAGATGGGCATCGAGAATGAGAGCGGGTGCTCCCGCGACGAGATCGCTGACGCCTTCCGCGAGGTGTGTGGGGGGTGGGGAGAGAGGGGAGGAGAGAGGTGGGGGAGTGTGTTGGGGACAGGGGTTGGTTACTGAGGAAACTCTGGGGCTTTACGCGCCGATGCCTCCTCAAGGAGGGGCGGCGGGGAAGAGAAGTGGTGGGGGCGGGGTGTGGGAAGAGGGGGGAAGGATTGTGGGGAAGCCGTGGGGGAGTGGGGAGAGGTGGGGGCGGGGAGAGGGCGGAGAGAGGTGAGGGTTTGGGGGCTGGTTGGTGAGGAGAGTGTGAGGGGGATGCGCAGTGAGGGAACATTCTACGCTCGTATTCTGCTCGTCAAGTCCCCACCCCTGCCCGCTCCACTCCATCCTTTGCCGCGCAAGTGTGCACACCGTGCGTCATCCTCCACCCTTAACCCCTCGTGCACACCGTGCCCTTTCCCCCTCTCCCCTCCCCCATCCCCTCCGTGCCCCCATCCATCCCCTCCGTGCCCCCATCCATCCCCTCCGTGCCCCCATCCATCCCCTCCGTGCCCCCATCCATCCCCTCCGTGCCCCCATCCATGCCCTCCGTGCCCCCATCCATCCCCTCCGTGCCCCCATCCATCCCCTCCGTGCCCCCATCCATGCCCTCCGTGCCCCCATCCATCCCCTCCGTGCCCCCATCCATGCCCTCCGTGCCCCCATCCATCCCCTCCGTGCCCCCATCCATCCCCTCCGTGCCCCCATCCATGCCCTTGGTGTGCCGGCAGGTGTGTGAGGACCGGGTACCAGCGGACCGCATGGTGCTGCGCAAGCTGGCGCAGGACATGCGCGACTGGCCGCGCCTAAGGGTGAGTGGGTGTGGGGACGAGGGGAGGGTATGCATGGCTTACGAGGAGGTGGTGGGGTGAGAGGGAGGGAGATGGGGTGGTATGAGGCGATGGGCTCAGACAAAATGGAAACCGTTTCCATTGTTCTCTCCCACGCCTCTCTCGCACCCCTCTATCCCCCACCTCTCTATCCCCCACCCCTCTCTCCCACCCCTCTATCCCCCACCTCTCTATCCCCCACCCCTCTCTCCCACCCCTCTATCCCCCACCCCTCTCTCCCACCCCTCTATCCCCCACCCCTCTCTCCCACCCCTCTATCCCCCACCCCTCTCTCCCACCCCTCTATCCCCCACCCCTATCTCCCACCCCTCTATCCCCCACCCCTCTATCCCCCACCCCTCTCTCCCACCCCTGTATCCCCCACCCCTCTCTCCCACCCCTGTATCCCCCACCCCTCTCTCCCACCCCTCTATCCCCCACCCCTCTCTCCCACCCCTCTATCCCCCACCCCTCTCCCGCCACCACCAACTACCAATGCCAGGAGGAGCCAGCCCCCAAGGAGGAACTGGGCTTTGGTGACCAGCATACATCCCCTCTCCCCAACTCTCCTTCCGGATGCCTCCCCCTGACCCCCCTCTCCTCCCCTCCCCCATTTCCCCGTTTCCGCACCCCTCCCCCACGCCCTGCCAGGAGGAGCCAGCTGGCGAGGAGGCAGAGGGAGCACCTCGGGGCCAGCGGAAGTCACTGTATGCGCAGATCACGGACGTGGGGTTGTAGGCCGCTGCCGCACAGCCCATCCGCCCTCCATGCCATCATGTGTGAGTGCTGCCTTGGACGCGTTTGCCACCATCCACGCAGCACAGGAGCACAGCCTGTGCGGTCAAGGAGGGGGCAAGAGGGGTCGTCCGGGCGGGTCAGGTTAGGAGCAAGACGTGCAGCAGGTAGGCTGGCTGTAGCAGGAGGTGGGTGGACACGATGGGCGTCAGGGGTGTGTGGGGTGTGGTAAGGCTGGCAGCAGGCCCAGTGTGGTGTGGTGGTGGAGAGCTGAGCTGACTCTATCTCGGAGATACATCCCTATTCACTCTATCGTGCACTATGAGGATTAACCCCACCTTGCGGGCTGCCTGCGCAGCCACGTGTACGATGTTGGTGTGGGTGGTGGTACGGTCAGGGCCAGCCTGGTCCCCTTCCTGGACTGGCTTGCTGTGACCGCCCAGTGCGTGCGCGTGCCCACTCCCCCCGTGCTTGCTCGCGCATCCGCCTCGCGCTGGTTGCCGAGGCATCGCGGGCCCTGGTGAAGTCGCCGCTAGATCCTGTGCCTTGTATCAAACCTGCCTCCAGTGATTCGGTTCTGTGCTCTCACTTGCCTCCTCTCGAAAGTACTGCCGTTGGGTCTATCTTCACCCCGTTATCCCATGATCTCATGCTGAAGGGACAAAGGCAAGATTGTCACCCTTGTAAAAATGAGCAGGGGCCTGCAAGAAGTGTATCGGCTCGGCACTCTTGAACTGGGCACATCTCCACCCCATGTGCTCTGCCTTGTCTCGCCCCTCATCATCCCCGCCTTCCCTGCCCTTCCATGCACTGTCTGCATGCCCTGCATCACCCATCCCACCTCATTGCAGGCCCTATTTGGTAGGCAAAGAAACAAGCTGACAACTCGCATAACTTTGTTCCTTGCGGCGTTAGGTGGCTTCTCTTCACCCTCTTGTTCGTTGCATGCCACCACCTTGCATAATGAAATGCCCTTCTTTTCTGTATTGCAGCTGCTGGTTTTGTTTCGTTCCACCGTACCGTATGTAGGTTTAACTGGTGTACATACCGTCATCGCCCGGATAGAAGGCTGTTGAATTGTGGACATGGGTGTCCTTCAAACGGGTGTTTGTCTGTTTTTTGTTATGTACAGGAATGCATGATGTACTTATCGTAACAACTTTTAGGGTGCGTATAATATTGCGTGCATCAGAACATGTGTTGTTAGGGTAAATCGTAAGTTTAAACTGCTTTTAGAGCACATACATTCTTACATGCTCAGGAAGAATAAAATATCACAGAAATCAAATGAATTTATTTGTAAGGGCTTCTTCAACTGTTTCGAGTCAAAGCGTAGTGGACTGCGTCCTTCCAACACTAACGATTGTATGTTTCGCAATCGTGACTGGTGAACGCAGATCTTCTGCATTTGTCAGGAGATTCTTGATTGGTTGCCATCCCCTCCCGAAAATTCGGGAGGGGATGTCAGCACGCACAACCAATTTAGCGCATCGTTGCCATCCCCTCCCGAAAATTCGCCACAACCCATGCCCATCTTGGTCTTCCTGCGACAACGTGCAAAATTTTCGAACCCTTGCACTGCATCCTTTCTCCACACCAGCCACTTCACCTGCGTGGTCTCACTGCAGCCATGGCCTCCGCTGTAGCCTCCGTCGCCGCTGCCTCTTCTACCGCCATCACCTGCCAAGCCACTGCGTCTAGCAGGAATGGGTCCGCGAGGAGAAGATTCATGGGAGCCACTCTCCGTGTCTCCCCCGCAGCCAGAGGTACATAGCCGTTTCGTAGGCACAACTTTGCTGTCCCTTGTTTCCCTTCTAATGTCCCGATTCGCTCATCTCGCAGCCGTCCGCGCTGAGAAGCTGGCTGTCCGCGCGTCCTCGTCTGAGGAGCTCGGTGGAACCCAGAAGCAGATTCTCGAGGCGTTCTCGGGGGTGAAGGCCAAGGTACATGAGACTCCTTGCGTAATGATTGTAACTTGCATTCGTCGATATTGCGTTCGTCGAAATTTCGATTCAAACGACCTTGCATAATGATTGCAATTCTTCCTTGCAGTGGGACACCGTGGAGAACAAGCCCACCGTGCTGCTCTACACGGGCGGCGCCGTGCTCGCCTTGTGGATCACCAGCGCAGTCATGGGAGCTATCGACTCGCTGCCTCTGGTAGGCTCTCGCTCGTGCGACTTCTCTTTCACGCGCGCTCCCTGATCGCTCTTACACTGAGTCCTAAATCTCCTAATTTTTGTTATATGCCAGGTCCCGGATTTTCTGAAGCTGGTCGGCACTATCTATGGTGGCTGGTTCGTCTACCGCTACCTCCTCTTCGAGGTGAGCTTCCCAACAGAAAGAAATCAATTGGCTCAATCATTTTGCTTTAATTAGTTGGTGGTTATATCTGCTTGTTGTTTGCGACACCTCTCACGTCGTTTCTGTTGTAATATGGCAGGCGAGCCGGAAGGAACTGGCGACTCTGATTAACGACCTCAAGAACCAAATTGCTGATACGAAATAAACATACGGTATACGTTCAGGATGTATAATACCTCTCATTTTTAAAAGGATAACACGGTTCTGCACACTAACCAAATAAAGTCTACTTCTATGAGTGCACTAAGGCGTGCTAATGCACTGGTGGTCTCACTGGGATAAACTATTCATCAGGGCACTAAGAGCGTATTTCTACACCTCGTATCAAGTGAACCCCAAACGCCTGGTAAAATTTGCAAGAGATTTCGGGTTTAGGGGAATTTTCAGTGGGAGCCTGATACCTAGGAGGCATAGGAATTGTTAGAATTTGAAATGACTGAATACGATCTTAATACTTAGGATGGTAGCTTCCTGTCGTAGCGGAAGTCTTGTATTAATTAAAGCTAGTTAAGGAGGCTTTATCTGGACTAGTGAAAGCCCATGTAGTGATACAGGATCAATGTCTCTCAAATCAGATATATTATAAAATGACAAGCATACAGAATATATAGCTAGAGTGAAGTACCTTTTCGCCTGTTGAGATAATATCGAGACGTAAAGCACTTCAAGGAAATTCGTGTAGTACAGTAAAGTACCGATAGGCTGACGTCAGCAAAGCGCTACGCGACCTAGGATGACGTCAGCACGTAGCTATAGACTTCGCGAATAGTTACGTACCGTTTCAAGATAAGAATAGCACAGTACAGTAGGCGAACAGGTACTTTACTCTAGCTATATATTTTGTACGTTTGTCATTTTATAATATACCGGTATCTGATTTCAGAGACATTTGATCCTGAAACATATCACTACATAGACTTTATTAAGTCTAGACAAAGCCTTCACAACCGGCTTAACTCATATAAGACTTCCGCTACGACAGGAAGTTACCATCCTAAGTAGTACGATCCTACAAACTCACTTCAAATTCTAACATGGTATTGCGAGCGTCTTAGGATACTACAAACTTCCAACTACATACTCTACAACTATGTCTGGATCTCCACGGTCCAACAACGGTTCTTCTGTTACGAGCCCATCACGCCCAACAGCGTCTCCAGCTGCTGATAATTCTAATCTGCAGCAACAACAACAACAACAACAACAACAACAACAACAATATCAGCAACAACCGATGTACGGCATGCCACTGAGCAATCAGCCCGTACACACAACCGCAGCAGCGGCATCATCGGCAGCAGCCGCAGCAACAGCAGCATCAGCAGCCACAACAGCTGCAGCTGCAGTAACTGGTTATACTAATCAACCAGGACAACAGTCTAGTTTCGTACCGACTGGACCATATCAATATCAAGGTGCTTACCAGCCAACAAATCTTCAACAACGTGTCAATGCTGCCGTCTTGTCACTTAACCAGATGTTTCCAACTCCTATGAGCATTGATGGCTCCAGTTATCAGCATGGTCAGATGCCACAAGGAAGTGACGGGTCGAACAACTCCTTCTCTTTTGTTCCTGCTGGTCAAAGACAACAAACACAACAAGGGTCACAGGTGCCATCACATTATCAGCTACAATCAGCTGACGGTACCGGAAATTATATTCCTGCTTCTGCAAATCCAACGAAAATTAAAACGACAATGCCTTTTAACGGTCAAGACTTTTATACCTGGAGCTTTGAGTTTGAGCTTCTTGTTCAGACCGCGGGGTTCTGGCAGCTGTTCGACGGCACAGCACCCTTTCCATCTCACGGGTCACCACTTCAACAAGCCACTTTTCGATCGGCGTCGCTGACTACATACATAGTTCTCGTTCGTAATCTGACACCGACTGAACAGCTTGGAATTCGTTCTTTTCGTACCAGTGCCGCTCCCGCTGAAGCAGCTTGGTTATACCTGCAAGGGGTTCACATGGCAAAGGACACTGTCAACCAGAGTAAAATTTTAACGCAGCTGTCAAATATACAGATGATAAACGGCGAGAAGGTGACGCATTATATCAACCGCGCTCGAAATCTGCGTGATCAACTTCAGAAGTGTGGAGGGTACTTCCCCGACGCTATGTTTCACACGGTGCTACTCGCGGGTCTTGGACCAGAATGGCGACAGTGTCGCTCTATACTTCGGATGCAAGCACAGTTGTCTGAGGGGGCACTCTGTGCCGCTCTCATCGCCGAGCAGCAGGATATGGATCTGCACAACACTCGAGGAGGGAAAAAGATGGTAAACAATACAGTCGGTTTTTATTCTAATCCACGTCACAAGCCCGTTTGCTCTTTTTGTCGAAAAGCAGGACACACTATTGATACCTGTTGGTCGAAGGATAAACCATATTGGAAGCGATCTACATCGAAACATACCAAAGATTCTTCAAGCGAAGCTGAGAAGCCGAAAGCTGAGAAGCCGGACGCTGCGAAGCAGAATACTGCGAAGCCGAACTCTGCGAAGCCGACTACTACACCTGCCAAGACACAAACAAAAGAAGTTATTAATTGCATGACATCAGTTTCTACCGTCTACGATCCTGACGCTGAAGAACGTATTCACAGTAGCTTCAACGATGAACTCAATACGCCTATACCACCCGAGGTCTACGCCAACCTTGCACATACCTTGGAAGGGCCCAACACTTGGTATCTTGACAGCTGTTGCGGCCAGCATATGTGTTCATCAGAAAATCGCTTCGTCATCAATCAGCGTCGTCTTCAGAATCCATGGGTTGTAACCGTCGCCAACAATCAACGTCTTACAGCACACTGGATGGGTAACGTCATTCTTGATTCTGTTGACGAAGACTTCAGTCTTCATCTTAACGATGTACTCCTCGTTCCTCGACTTGGCTTCAATCTGATGTCATCTGCACAGCTAATGAGGAATGGCATTACTCTTCTTGGTGAACCGGGCAAGTTTACTTTAAAATATGGAGACAAGAAACTCGGCACGGCAATTGTACAGAACGGTGTGTTCGTTCTCAACTTCGTACCTGAACGCACCACTGCCGACTCCGAGAATATTCTCTCTCTTGGCACATGGGAACATCGTGATGACATCGATTACACCGATGATACCGTTCCTCGTGATGGAGTTGTACCCACGTCTTCGACCACGGCTGCCGCAGTCATGCTAACCTTCGACAATCAAGGTTTGAACGACGTCCAGAACTCCCGAGATTATCTTGCTGGTGGTTGGGGAGATACGACGAATATGCCCACGGATGAAGGTACTTGGGGGGCACAGGAACCTGACGAGACCACTTGGGGAGAAACACCGGCTGATCGTGATCGACGTCTTCTCACTGAAGCAGAGCAGCGTGTTGCAGACATGGAAGTCCTCGACTCCGGACGACTTGTCGGTGTTGAGCCTAAACCTGCAGCATCAGATCAAGAAAGCGGGGAGTTAGTTCTTTCACTTGGCGAATCCATCGACGTCGAAATCAAAATACCACCTCCTAACCTTACCAGGTTCATCCCGCCAGTCACAGATCATGTTCACGCTGACGGTCATCGGCTGGTGTTATCTTTCTTCGCTAACGCCGATTATTATCTGCGCGCACAGGGACACAAAGCAACTGCAGAAACCTGGCATAAGCGTCTTGGTCATCCGTCGCAGTCTACGCTCAACAACACAATCAAAGTAGCTGTTCTCGACAAAAAATTCTCTTCTCTTACCTGGCGGCCTCGAAATGAAACCGGTTAATCGTCCGTCACCCTGCTTGATCTGCCCAGCAGCAAATCTACCGCACGAACCGTACCCGACTCATTTTCCTGGCGCTGAGGATTATCGGTTGATGGAAAAAAGTTTACAGTGATATTCTCAACTTACCTGCGGAGGGTTTCAACGGCGAGAAATATGTTATTACGTTCACTGAAGCTTCTACTCGATACGTCTGGACTGGTAACATGACTAACCGTTTTCTTGCTTTCACAGCGTTTCGGACATGGCTGCCTCTAGCAGAACGCGAGTCCGACACAAAACTCAAAACCTTCCAGTGTGACGGCGCTGGGGAATATCGCAGTCTCGAGTTTACGACGTACCTGCAAGAACGAGGCATACGGCGCCTGTTCTCACTTCCTCACGCTCACCAGCAGAGCGGTGTAGCTGAACGCCTCAATCGTACTCTGCAACAAAAGATGCGAGCACTACTCGCACACTCCCAACTCGGCCCACTCTACTGGCCCTTCGCAATGGACCACGCAACATTGTTGCATAACCTCCTTTCTTCGTCGGCTTTACCCAACAACGCATCACCTCACTTGTTGTGGACAGGAAAATTGGGCACTACAAAACTTCTTCGAGTTTTTGGGTGTATCGTGCAATATCGTCCTCCCGCTCCGCTTGGAAAGTTCGATCAACGCGCTAAGTGGGGTCTTCATCTCGGCCTTGAGAAGCAGTTTTCTGCCTGGCGTATTATGGATTATCGCAGTCGACTTTTAATTCCTGCCCGCGACTGTATTTTCTACGAAAATCTGATCTTTCCTGTCTTCGAACAGTATCTCGCCACGCAGCGTGACCCTGCTACACTTTTACACGGTGTTCGTTCATTCGCCAGCGCTGACGCCGAACTTGTTGCCAACGAAGAACCTGACATTGACGGTGCACGTGAAGCCGCCCCTGATCCACCTGTACCAACCACGTCTTCCGGATTTCCGGAATTCATTCCTCTCGTCGACACTCATCCGGACGATGTTCGTGAAGTTCATCATACTTACCTGGTGGACGATCAACAACGTCCCATGCCAGCTGTAACTGACAACAGCATCCGCGTCGATCCTGACGAAATTGGGGGGGCAAGTGGTGAACAGTGTGAACCTGTCAATTTCGCAGGACAGACCGACGACAGTCCTAATTATCAAACTGGGCTTCAGATACTGGGACTCGCAACAGCAGTACAGCATAATTCTTCAGAAGTCGCAGAACCGAAAACTGCCCGACAGGCCCTTTCAGGACCACATCGCGAAAAATGGCGTGAAGCCATGGATCGTGAACTGGCTGCCCTGGAAAAACGGGAGACTTGGGATCTCATACCTATCGAAAAAGCTACAAATAAAAATATTCTTACCGGAAAATGGGTCTTCACGGTGAAGACG